GACATCATCATAAAGGTCCAGTAAGCTGGGGAAGCTGTACAGGTCCTACCTGACCCTAGAGAGTTTTCTGGAATAAACAGGTCCAAAGAGTCACAGAAAGGGGAAAATAATGAATGACTTCCAAAACAGACAGAGCCACCCTGCTGACCTGGCTTTGTTCCTTCATGAAGGCTAGATCCTCCATACTCATTGAACTACAAAGTACTTTCAAGTTCTTGGTGGGAAGCTGCAAAAAGAACATAAAATAATGTTCCCTTGTCTAATTCATAGTTGTTTAAATATAAAAATGAGATTGAAACGACAATGCCCCCAGCTGACCATCTGGCTGCTTGGCTATGAGTTTCTAGACAGTGTCAAACAAGGCTACCAAGATTTGAGTTGCTGTGGGACCAGCAATCATTGTCAGACACGTTGTAGATGAGCAGTATTTTTTTAACCTCCAGCCAGTCTTCAAGACCCATGGGCCCATGCCCTTCTACACAGCCCCACAGCCTGAACTTTCTCTGTGTTAGGGCCTGTGCTAACGGCTGTTGGGACCCAACCCTATCCCCAGGCTTGAGTTTTAGCAACTTCATTTTGCATATTAAAAAAGGAGCCTCAGGAGTGTAATGCTTTCCTACCTACCCAGCATGTCCAAGTCCCTGGGTTCCATCGCCAGCACCACAGAAGACATAGAAAAACCCGAGGTGACTATGAGACTGCTCCAGGATTCTCACTCACGTCTACCTGGATCAGGTGACGAGCTTAGCATACTGCTGTCTGGCCCTTACCTGTGCCTTTCTCTGTCCTGAGCCATGTAACCTGCAGCCCAGGTTCCCAGTAGGCTCCCATGGGTGCTTGCTTTTTTGTTAGTTCTTTACTCCTGTCCCAAAATCCTTCTGGAGTCATCTTCCCTCCCTGGCACAGACTTAGTGCACACACCGTGCTTGTCAGGGGCTGTCTTCTCCTGCAGTGTGCATTCTCCCTCTTCCAACCACATTCTCTCCACGATATCTACCCAGCAAAGGCATGCTTCTTAGCCTACTGCTTGCTAGATATTTCTCCAGCCTTGGGAGATGTGTTGTGGTCTCATCAGAGGATTGGAAGCAGTTTTCTTAGGAAGGCCTTCCCAGCAGGCCCACACTCATTGAATGGCTGATTTTCACAAAACTGGACAGATCCTATCACTGGCAGTCATCAAGCCACAGTAATGAACATCTATCAGGAATGTCATGGTGGAGGCTGAAGGCTCCTCCACCAAGAAGAGTCAGAGATCTCGGATTCATCCAGACTGACTCACCGTGACTCCATTCACGGTTTGCTTTCTGCCTGTAGCGATCCAATCCAGGAACAGAGGACCTTATAGGACTTCCCCAGGACAGTGGCTCCATGAAGGTTTATTGAATAAACCCTCCACTCACCATTCACAGACAAGAACAGAGCCCAAGTCCCAGGGGAACCAAAGACCTGAGCCGGCATTTGTCTCTATGTATCCATGTTCCTGACCGATGCTGTCCCATCCCTGCGTGCTTAGGGAATATGGTACCGCTATCTACAAGTCTTTCCAGGAAATAGAACCAAAAGAATTTATATATAAGACAGGATTTATTACAAAGATCAGCTAGTGTTAGACTTCGGATACCAAGAAGCCCCAGCATCTGCGGCCCTGAAGCTGGTAGGCAGGGAATCTCTGGTGCTGGAGCTGTCCAGTCTCCGTCTGAAGGCCTGGGAGCCAGAAGCAGGCTGCTGAAGGGCAGAACAGCATGAATTTATGAGCTAGAGAAGAGAGGACATTTGCTCTCCTGTGGTTTTTTCCTTAGCTCTCAGAGGATTTGGAGGATGCTCAGTGACATTGGGCAGACTGTCTTTGCTCACTGCGCTGATCCAAACGCCGGTATGCACTTGGATCACCATAAAAATGTTCCTACGTAGTGCTGGTCCAGCAGTCTGTATGCATCCATTATCCTTTTCAGGTTACACGTACCACTGGCTGTGCATTTGTAGGGAGTTCTAGACCCAGTGTAGGCAAGGGCTGGGCTAGGCTGCAGTGTTTCACATCTCTATAAAAGCAACACTTGAGAGGCAGAGGCAAGAAAGGATTGTGAGCTTGAGAGCAGTAATGGGCTACACAGTGAGGTCCTGTTTCAAAATAAAAAAAATAAACCTAAGTAAATAAATAAGGAAAAGTGAGGTGAACCTGCTTGGGGCTGGCCAGTGTGGAGCTTGGACTGTGGAGTTGTGGGTGAGGGCCTGCACGTCTGGGAAGACAGAAGGAAGAGAAGAAAGGGCGAGGTGTTCAGTGACGCTCTTGGGGGATGCCACATCTTACGGCAAAGCCTTGGCGTGTGTTCATACCCAAACCCTGGTCGCCTTACAGCACACAGGCAATGCTGCTGCCTTGTGTATTTTTCCTGTTGCCATTCAGTAGGTCTTTGGAAAGTGTTCATTTTGTTTTTCAGTGAAAGGGGGAGCAATAAGGAAAGTATCTAAGTCATCAATCTAAAAATAAAAATTATCAGGTTTTTATACAATCCTCATAACAAACACAAAATTACTAAGAAGATTCCAGACTCTGGTTGGGAAGAGTCAAGGAGGCTTCAGAGGGGGGCTGAGAAAAGAAGGCATACCATGGCTCAGGTCTTACCAGCCCTCTCCCCTTCTGGGGAAACTGGCAAGGAGGGGCCATCACGGCGGACTTTTCTCTATAAGTTGGTTTGACACTTATGTTTCCAAACCTGAAATATTTTCGGAGGGTCAAGCATGGAAACAAAACAAAGCATATGATCTTTATGATCTCTTTTGCTGATAATTGCTTATGCCTGTTGTTTCTGTTTTTAAGATTCCGGACATTCGAAGTCATGGCATGTGAAGTGGTCCCATGGTGCTTAGCTCTGGATAGGCCAGGCCCAGGCTATGCACCCAAAGGTTCCTTTGTTCAGTCTGTAGAGGGGATGCAGGAACTACAGAGCTGCCAGACAGCCTGACAGCCTGACCCGGAGAGCTCAGGGTGCCATGGTCCAGCTTTTCATTTCGTTTTGTTTCTTTTTGAACGTTAGTGTTGAATGTAAGAATGGACTTTACATGTACTGGTCCCCACTTCACTGTTGTAGAAACAAGCATCTACCCCAGCAGTGAGGGGCAGGGACTATTTAGTTTGGGTAAGGGTAACAGAGTAGGGAGATCTTAGGAGAGACTCCTGCCAGCCTGGTGTCTTCCTCATTCTGAGCTATCAAGCACCCTTCAGCATCAGTTCTTATCAAGGGCGGTCTTAACACCTTGTGGAGTTAATTCCTGCAGTCCTTCGGGCAGCAGGGATCAAGCAAGGCAACCCAGTGGCTCACAAGAGGGCTGGAGTGAGTAGGCAGCTGGTGAAAGCCTGAGTGAGTAGCACAGAACCAGGATAGTCTTGGGTCCCCACTTTCCAATGCTTTGATCCCACCATCTGGTTTACCTTTGTCAACTTAAGTAGGGTTTCAGGATGTTTCCTTACCAGTTCAAAGGGCAAAGTAGCAGTCCCTGCCTCACCCCCATGTGCAGCTCAGGATGGATGGGACCACTTCCCTGAGCCTCTCTAGAGGCTCATTTCCAAGCCTTCTGTGCCCCTGCCCCATGCCCATTGGACTCCTGGAGGCAGGGAAAGATCTGCTTCACTCTGCAGGGCCTGCAGCTCGGTGCCCAGGAAGCTTCTGGCTCTGGGAACTAATGACCAGATCATTCTCCCAACGTTGTTATTTCCCAGAGCTTCAGGGAGAGGCACAGTCTTCCCAAACCATGAAGGTCTCATACCTCTTTGCCTGGTGCAGGGGAAACAGAGCGTGGTCCAGGTTCCGGATTCTTGGTGATGAAATGGGGTTTGGCACGCTGCTTTTGGAGCCAAGGCTTCAATGTTTCTGAAGGCTGCACTGAAAACAGAGTTACCAGGTGTCATTTTCCTTGCTCTGTTTTCCCACCATTCCCGGTGAGCCTGGTTTTCCTTGAAGGCACAATAGGGCAAGAAGGATGATGGTTCTTGGCAACTTGACATCAGGCAGTGCTCTTACCTGGGTTCAGGTAGGACTCTAAGAGAGTTGCTGTGCCGGGCAGATGCAATTTTTGCCCTCTTTTGCAAGATGTAATGCTACCCTAAGTGTGCTGCTGGAACTGTATCAGAGATATCAAGAGCTGCTGGTATCCACTTGAAACCGATGGGAATTCCTTTGTGAACTCCAGGGAGGTGTAATGCATCTTATTTCTGTAGAAGTGTTAGAGAGACCACAAAATAGCGTGTTGGTCCTTTCCCTATAGCTCATAATGGGAAAACAGTGACAGAGGCCCAGCAATCGGAATCTTAGGGATGGACAGTCTGTTGGTATGCTCTCATCTGAAAAAGGCTGTCCAGGGAATCTTCTTTCTTCTGCGTTTCTGGCTTGCCTCAACCTTGCTCTCTCCTGCCAGGTTCACTTTAAGGAGTCAAAGGACTTCTAGCCAGCCCCCATCCCCGTGCGCCCATGATTTGCGACCTTATAGAGGCTGTTGAAGCCTCCTGAGCTTTCCTGTAAAGACTGCTGTTTTATACTCGCGTGGCCCCCCACTAGATAAGCCACACAAGGGTACTGTAGGTTTTTCTCCCGGCAGGCACAACACTTAGGCACACCGAATGGGACTCGAACTTCCCTCTCCAGGTGCACTTGGAACTGATGAGCCGCTAGAATTCTGGGGCCCCGAGGTGCTCAGGGAGGCCAGCTTGGTGGGAGGGCGTTTTAAGAACTCATCCTTCAGGTCTGGAACCGAGGGGGGGGTACTGCCCCTGGTAGCTCAGGACTTTGTTAGGGTGATGAGACCAGGTGACCGGCAGGGCCCCGGTGCGCGGGCCGTTCGTGGCGATTGCCCGAGCCGCCTCGAGGGGGCCCTGCGGCGGGCGCGGGCCGCCAGCCAGGAGGACGGGCCCGCCCGCGAGCAGCTCGGAGCCCAGCCTCGCTTCGGCCATCGCCCCGCCGGACCGCGCTGCGGGTTCGCCCAGGTACCCAGGCCGGGAGCAGGGCAGGGGCGTCCACGCGCCGCCACACTCTTTGTTTGGGACCCCGCTTGGGTTGCCGACCCTGGGAGTGCGGGGTCTTGGAGCTGGGACGCAGACTCGCAAGCACCAGATCTGGGCACGGAGACAGTTGAGGGTACGGGGACAGGGCGCGGGGGGGCACCCGGGAAGGGCATTAGGGAATCCAGGGCTGGGGATGGCCACGGGGTCCGCGGCGATCCCGGGACGGGGGCTCAGTCAAGTCCCCGGGAAAGGACGCGGCGCGGGCCAGCTTGCCAGAGCTGAGCGCGGCTGGGGACGCTGCTGGGGCGCGGGCCGGCAAGGTCCGGGCCGCCGGCGCCGTGCTAGGCGGGCGGGGGCGGAGCAGCTCTATCGCCGCCTCGGCCCAGCGGACTTTGCTCCCTGAGACAGTTAGAGACCGGGCGACGGAGAGCCGCTTGGGGCTGCAATGGGATATCTCGGGACTTTACTCCCGCCTTTTCCAGGCAAGTGCGCTGTGCGCCTCTTTCCCTTTCCTTTCGATTGCTTGGGAGGCTGGGGTCCGTCCCATCGCGCCTTTTCCCATCCCTCGGATTACGGGTGCAGGCGCAGGCTGGGGGAGTGAGGGGGGGGACACCTGTGACACGTGCCTCCTGGCACGCGGGCGCTGTAGCTGACAAGAGGGAGGGTCTCTGTGCAGTGCTGTGTTCTGCCACTGAGGACGTTCGTTTGAACTGATTTGAGAGTCCATGCTTCGGGAAGAGACCCCGAACTCCTTCCTTCCCCCACTGGCATTCTGGCCGGTGCCAGCAGGTGATCCGGACTCCCTAGCGTGACTGAACACAAAAAGTTCCCTCTAGGGCGTGGGACCAGTAGAGTGCACTATCACAACTGATTGGGACGCCCCAGGCACTGTCACAGCCCACTCTAACTTTTGTTTTCTGAGGTGTGCCTCCAGCCCCGGATGTATAGAACTTTGAAAACACACCTCAAACAGGGAATACAGAAGTTAACTGTTGTAATACTGTATAGCCAGCCCAACAGAGCTAACTCTTTTGACATTTTGGTACATTTCCTTGAGGCTTTGGTCTGTTCATATTAATTATTTTTAAAAGTGCTTTTACTTCTTTGCTTTTAAGTGAGATTTGAGTGTCCTTGCGGTTTTGGTGCCTCCCTCTTTTGGGCCTATGAGGTTGTATTTGCAAATCAATCAACAAGTATTAAGAAAGGCTTTTCTGTGCGGAGACCTTGAGGACCAGGAAGGGGGTGGGGATGGCTGCCGCTGGAAGATGGAGGAGGCTAGGCCAAGACTTAGAATGTGTATTAGAGAGTGTCTATAATTGCGTGGGGGTGGGGCGGTGGGGCAGGGAGGTACATTTGCTGGGTCCTGGGGAGCTAACTGGGCAAGAAGCAAGAAGCAGGACCTCAGACAAAGTCATGGTGACCCCCCAGAGTGATACAAGGGCAGTAAAGGCTGGTGGCTGAGTGTACTAAACTCTGCATGTATTTATTTCCAAGTGACTCTTGGAAGGAACAAGGAAGGGGCATTATCACACCATTTTTCACATGGGTAAAGAAATGCCAGGTATCCCGTTCGCGATGTTGAAGTGTGGAGGGGTAGCTAGGAGTTATGGGAGAGAACGCCTGCCTTCTGGCTCCCCTCCTGCAGGTGGGCTGCCACCCTCCTCTGTCAATTGGATGTGGATGCTTTCTTGCTTATTCGTACAGTACTTCCTCCACTGAGGTTAGTTCCTTTACCGAAGCTTTATCGGTGGCAGCAGCTATTTCTATACAGATCATAACCAGCAAGAAGATAGGAAGGGGGTTGCTTCAGAGAACAAGATAGGAAGGGGGTTGCTTCAGAGAACACCGTGCTTCTGAATGCAAACGGACTAGCTTTTACAAAGTGTCTCTCTGGCCTACTGTGCTTTGAAACTGAGTTACTAGCAAATGTTTACTCCATAGCTCAAGTTCACAAGGTCAGAATGTTACTATGCTGCAGGAGGCGCTAAGGGAGTTGTTGCTTGTGGCATAGCCGTAACCCAGGTCATAATACAAGAAGGTGCAGTGGAAAATACCCAAGAGGAAGACATTGGACCTCTCTCTGGCAGTCAAAGCTTCTGTCTGCCCAGGACGCAAGGATCCGTTTTACAGATGCGGAAAATTCCAATCAAGTTTCCAAAGCACGGGGCTACTAGTGATCTGTCTGCTTGCGACCTGCCCCTGGCTTAGGATCAGCCTGCTGGAAGCAAAGGAAGGGAAGTTTGTTCTGACCTTGTGTTTGAACTTGGACGTGGGAGGGCTGGGTGCTACTAGCAAAAATAGCTCTTGGTTTTTATTTTTGCAAACAGAATGCTCTTTACAGGACCACCACCTGCCAGGTGGTCAGGGGCATTGCCCAATGAATGTCTCAGTTGTGTCCTTGCCAACAACCCCTCACAGGGGCTCGGATAGACTGCTGTCTGTTTTCTGTTTTGCGGCTGGGTGGAGGCTGGTAGGTCAGCTCCATGTGGCAGAAACTGGAATGGATATATTGGAGCTAGGCAAAAGTTCTTTAAGATGTTCATTGACCCTGGCCCTCCTTCTTGTGGGACCCTGAAAAGCAATGGGGAACAGGTGGAAAGAAGCCTGCCCGCAGTGACCTAATGACATAGAGGGAGCCGCGTCTACTCAGAGACCTTTGCTGCCATGTCTGCTTGTCTAGAATAAAGGGGCTAGGTTAGCTGCTTGAGTAGGCCTTTGGTTAACTCAGAGAGGAGAGTGATGTCCAGTCAGAGCAGTGGCTGCTGGTGTACATAACAAAGCAAATGCATCCTCATTGGCGTCTCCACGTGGAGCTAGTGTTTAAATTCCTGACAGTGGGTGAGGAGAAGTGTGTACCTCATTCTAGAACCCACAAGGGTGGGGTGTATCTTTTGGTGGAACTCTTGTGTAGCTTGGGTTCAGTCACCAGGACTACCGAAGGAGTTCAGGTTTAAACAAAGTAAATCCCAAGACAAGATGTATGCATCCATTCTTACTGAGCATGCGTCGGGGGCCGTATTTTGTCATAACTGCCCCCGTGTTCCATACATGTATAGTTTGCTGAGTGCAGCTTAGGGACAGCGACATTGAGTTTCTTGATGCCTGTTTCTTGTGAAAGTATGTGTACATTTCCAAGTTTCTTGGAACTTTCTTTTGAAGTCTTGGCTTCAGGAGTGTTTTGGACATGTGGTGAGGGACATGTGCTAAGCTCAGAATCCCCCGGGGTGGTCCTCAGTGTCTGCGTCGGTCTTCCTGTGGCACAAACTGTTGTATGGCTCACTACGTCCGCACAGAACATCTATTCACAGAGAACGTTTTGTTTGTATTTGTTTTTAGAGATGGGATCTTGCTACATAGCTCGTGCAGTTTTGGACTCTTGGTGATCCTGCTGCCGTGTCCTCCCAAAGAGCTGGAATTACAGATATGAGCCACCATGGCTGATTCTGGTTCCTATTTTGTACCTGTCCCCAGCATAGCCACGCTTAGGGTTCCTCATGTGGTGGCACAGATGCCCAATGGGGACTGCCTTTGCCACACGAGGAAAGGCAGTGAAGAGAGGAGAATCGGTGATTGGGGCCATCTTGTTTAGGACATGAAAGACAACACAAATTAGGAGCCCCCAGAATGCTGCAGTGTGTCGAGAAGGGGGACTGTTCTCTTTTAACTATGTGTTTACTTGCTTACGTATTCTGAAGGAGTGCGTGCCCATGTGTTCCGTGGCCTGTGTGTGAAGTCAGCGCTCTCCTTTCATCGTGTAGGCTCCAGGGATTGAGATCAGGTCATCAGGCAGACACTCTCACCTGCTGAGCTATCTTGCTGAATCAAAGTGGCAATTCCCGGGGTCATCATAATGATCTATAGATCCCAAAGGTGTGTGCCCATCTTTTAAGACAAGAACATTAAGCTGGCTTGAATATGTTTTGTCTCAAACGGGTAACCATAGCGGAAGATTATGCTGCAAGAGTTATGATGGTGATCTGGAAACGTTTCCCTGTGGAGTACCTGTCCAGGGCGGTTCAGGCATTCCTTGATGGCATCAGCCGACAGCAGGTTTGGACCTTTATCTCTGTGTCCACCCCAAGCTGGGGAGCACCCCATTCCCCAGTGCTTGTGGCTCGTGCTGGCTTCTCCCCTGCCCATAGGCTGACTTCCCATGCGGTTTGTCTCTGCTTTCTGAAAGAGACAGCAAGTGTTAGGAGTGTCAGCTGCCCGCAGCATGGGATGGCAGCTTCCCCGCGAGTCCAGTGTCTGCAGTTCTTGGTGTGCTGGCTCTGAAGAGGGACTTCCTCAGCCCCTGGGAGGGCTGCCCCACCCTGTTTGAATGGACTGGCCTGTCTCAGCTACTGCTGCCAGGACTCTGGTCCCAGCTGCTTCCTGACACCAAGGCCAGCTTTTCTTTACATCTCTCTTCCTTCCTTTTAGCTCTAATTATGGCACATTAAGTTACTGGGTCTTCCTCTTCCCTTTCTCTTTGGAGAGAGATAATCACAGCCACACACCCTTACAGGCAGGCCTTGCTTCTTTTTCAAAGATATTAGAAGATACCTTTGGCAATTCTGATCACAGCTGTCCAAGGAGGGCCCAGGAAGTTTTAACCTAGGTGCGTGCTAATGACTGAAAGGCAAGCCACACTCCGTAGACCAGGGCACACTTCCAAGTAGATGAAAGAATTGCCTCCTTAGCAAACAGTGTGATACGATGCCTCGTGTGTAGGTTGTGTTTATTTACTTATTTTAAGATATCTATTTTTATTTTATATGTATGAGTGCTTGCCAGCATGTGTTTATGGCGTGTGCATGCCACAGCCGTGTGGTTGTGAGCCACAGTGTGGGACTGGACCAGAACTCAGATCCCTTGCAATAGCGAGTGCCTTGACCGCTGAGCCATCTCTCCAGCCCTTCCTTGTGTGGAGTTTTTTAATGGAACTGTTATAAGAAATAGGAACCAAGGCCCGATGCTTTTAACGTCCCAGCATCCAGTAGTTGGGAGATCAAAAAGAAACCACTCTGGAAGTGTGGGCAGGGCCTTGTAGGTTGCTTCTCTTTTTACAGGCAAGCCGGGCCTCCTCCAGGCTCACAGGAGCCTGTTATTTCCCGCCAGAGGGTTCAGGAATCCTGGCTCTCCTCATTACTT